AATGATTGGCTAAAACCTAGGAAACAAAAGATGGGAATAAATGGTCAGATTACACTGCAGAGTCAAAACACCAGTTCAGTCCCATAAGATTTGTCCTGTGGTGCTTGCCTGTTTTTCTGGAACATTTTTCAATGAGTTGGTTTGCTGTTGATACTGTTTTTTTCAGAATAATAAAGAGAAAAGAGAAAGCTAACCATAAATAGCTATAGAAATGTTTGTGAGTGTGAAAATTCTTGTGTGTGGTGTGGAAAGGTTGAGCTGGTTAGCTGAAGTTTATGGAATCTCACAGCATTGTGAGATTTAAGCTGTAGACATTTAGGAATGAGATTTGAAGATTGTAATAGATGCTGGTGTTGAACCATCAGCTTTGTTTTCAGTACCAGTTAAAACAGTAAGTTGAACTGGAGGTATTATAAGGAAATAAATACATCATAAATTCAGAATGCTGGCCCTGCATCTCAAAGGAAATAACAGCAAAAGCAGAAGACAAAAGAGAAGGACAATGGGGATGAATAAAACCATGGGATGGCTTTTAGGAGGATTCACTGAATGAGGCTCTTAAGCCTGGGAAGGAGGTAGCTAAAGAGGGGAGAAAATAGATGGCTGTCAAATCTGTTCTGTACCAGGGTTTTTTGTTAACTAAACCCACAGGAAGCATAGAAACCTCCAGACAGCAGCAGCAATGCATCCTGATTTACATGTCAAATTATTTGACTTCCACATTAAATTATTTTTGTAGCATTCAGTATAGTTCCTCTCTGACTGGGAATAAGTTAATAGTGCTGGGTTTTTTAGGCTTTTGTTTACTTCTTATTTTCCAGAAGATAAACTTGAGAAACCAGAGAAGCCGGTAAATGGAGAAGACAAAGGTGACTCAGGTGTTGATACCCAAAACAGCGAAGGGAATGCTGATGAGGAAGATCCACTTGGACCCAATTGCTACTATGACAAAACCAAATCCTTCTTTGACAACATTTCCTGTGATGACAATAGGTATGGCCTGCAAGGAGAAGCTTGTTAGTCTGCTTAATGCATGTTTATATCATAAGGTACTGTCAGTGCTACTCATTAGTCAACTCTGAATCAAAGGTGATTAGAGCTGATTTCCACATGCAGCTGGCAAAAATGAAACAGGAATAAGAAGCACAAAATTTCTTTGCAGGCAAGTGCAATATGGTCACAGGAAGGTATTTTAAGTTGTTTTAGAGCCATACTTTTAGAACTTACTGCACAAGGTCTAGAGTCTCGTTTCCAGATTTACTAAGATGTGTGGGGATTTGTTTGTTTTGCTTTGCTCTTAAATTAACTCTTTAGTTAAATCAATTATTAGCCTGCTTTGATAATGGTTTCTAAGCAGATTACATAACTGTCTTGGCCAGTAGTGTTGCTCAAATGGGAAGATAGCATTTCAGGGAAATTAAAGCTTATCTTTTGCTGCTGCCTTTTTATTAGACACGATGATGTGGATTGCTGACCTATTTTGACTTGCAGGAGGGGGAGGGGGAGTTTTAGTTGTACTGACAGCCAGATAAAATAACATCTGTATCTGTAAACTGTTTCTTGCTTTAAACTGTGCTTGCTTTATACTGTGTGCAGAGGATACAGAGCGTGCTCTTCAATATGGCAATCTCTTGGAGCATTATTAATATTTAATTAATGACTCTGTAACATGTTCATTGATGAGTCCAGTCAACTGTGGCAGACACCTGGGTTCTTGTGGAAGGGATACTGTGGAGATTTACCGTGTGATTAATGTATTCCTTTGCATCTCGGGCTTTTTGGCGCCTCTCCCTCCCTTCCCAAGTGTTTCACAGCAATCCCTGTTGGTTCTGTGCTGCAGGGAGCGGCGACCCACCTGGGCCGAGGAGCGGCGGCTGAACGCCGAGACCTTCGGCATCCCCCTGCGCCCCAACCGCGGCCGCGGCGGCTACAGGGGCCGGGGCGTCATCGGCTTCCGAGGGGGCCGGGGCCGGGGCGGCGGCAGGGGCGGCTTCCCCGCCCCCCGCGGCTTCCGCGGCGCCTTCCGAGGAGGCCGTGGAGGCCGGGAGTTCGCCGACTTCGAATATAGGGTAAAGTGCACTTCATTCACTCTGACCCAATCCACTGCTCTGGGAAAGGAGCGGTCAAAAATCTGCTTCTAGATTTGATGTTGAACTAGAATTTCTTGAGCAGGGGCTCTGAGCTGCTTTTTTGAAAGTTCATTATTGCTGCAGTTTTAGTTACATAGCATCGTTTTGCTATCAACAGCAACCAAAAATAAAGGTTGCCTTTTTGTCACATGCTCTGAGCTATTTGATAGCTGGTATTGGGGAGGAGAAGAAAAAGAAGGGGAAAAAAGTTCTACAGATGGAATGCAAGTGTTAGAAATGTAAATTGCAAGCATTTTCCCAAGAAAAATTGTAAAATACAAACAATGAGAGGGAATAATTTAACTTGCTTCCAGTGTGCAACAAACTTTTCAATTCTTCGTGAATGAGTTGGCACAAATCCTATAGTCTACTGGTTAAATCAGTAACAAAGACAACTATCCAGATTGGTTCAGATAAACTAGGCTTTTAGAGTGCTGACTGGGACAGAACAACACCTTCTGCCAGTTTATTGCATGAGCAGTTAAGAGTTTTGCAAACAAGAATCTCTGACTTTGGATAGAAATGTTAAAATTTTTAAACTAAAAAAATGGGTTTCATCACACCACATTTCTCTCTATTGTGAGACATCCCTCAGCTGTTCCTTGATTAGTTTGCAACAGTTAGTCCTATGACTTAAAGGAATTTTGGGTAGCTGAACGTGAATGGAAATGAGGGATTGAAGATTAGCAATTTGAATTTCTGAAGAAGAGTTTTGCTGCCTTCCAGTTGAGTAGGAGGTGGTGTAAGGGCTGAGCATTTGTGCTGTGCTCGTATTCAGAGTGATGAGCTGCTCTACTCAGTGCCAGACTGAGGGGGTTTGAGCAGATGCCAACCTGATCTCCTCCAGAGGTCTCCTTTCTGCTGCAGGACATGGGGAATACAGCACAGCACAACTGCTCCCAGGGCTGTTGCCCAGATTAGTTTGTAGGGTTTGTTTTGCAAGATGGATTTCAACACTGTGCTTTTGTTCTCTCTAGAAAGACAACAAAGTTGCTGCGTAGTCTACAAGAAAGCTGAAACCAGGTGAACGTCTAGATCTTCTTGAATCAGAGAATTAGTTTTGATCTCTGCAAAGAATGAAGTTAATTTGCTGTATACTTGTCACCAGCACTGGGATTTAACTATTTAATTTCAAAGGGGTGTAATGCAGTTACTTTTGAGAAATGGCCATCTTTGAAAACAGTAAGCATTAAATATATTTGAGACAGAAGGATAAGTAATTTCTTATGTATAGTTAATTATAAGCAGTACTTCGATGGAGTTTAAGTATTTTTTCATCACTGAAAGGATTTTTCTTATTACTAAACTGTATTTGATAATTGCTTCAAGTTGTAAGGACAATGGTATGCAGAAGGCCGTCGATACTGTGAGTGTTTTGACCCACCGAAGGTTGTTTTTTGGAAATCCTGTAAAATCCCTTTTGAGGTAGTTGTTCTTGTATCAACTAGGGTGCTGGACAGTAGAAAACTTGCTTTGTCAGTCAGATATGTACACACAGTAAATACTGTTTCTTAGGCAAAGGAAAGTTTTTATATAGTTGTAAAATTCCATTATATCCCATTGCCAAAGAAACATTACAAACTTTGTATAGCTGTATAAAAAGCAACTAATTTTTTAAAGAATAAACATTTTTAAGTCGGTAAACATACTGTTATTGCAGAAAGTTGATATGCTGAAGAACACTGAATTAGTTGGGGTTTTTTTTCTTTAGCAGCTTTTCAAGCTTAAATGTTTGATTTTATATTTGGACTATAATGAAGTTTTGAAAATGTTCTTCCATTACATGAGACTGGATACACGCTTCACTGCTCTTGCAAGAATTTGATTTTGTAGTTTCTGGCATATCACAGGATTTGACCAAGTTAAGGAGATATTTTCAAAAAAAGGAGAAAAGGAATTTTCATATGTCAAGATTTGCAATTAATTTTACTTAGTGAGAAATATTAACTTTTTTTAATAATGGACCAGGCACACGAGTTGGTGATTCTCCTAGAATGCCTGGGATAAAAGTCTGTCTCCATTTGTCAATTCTTGAAACGTTGACTTTGTTGTAATACCTGTAGACATGAGCAATTTAAAGAATTCTTAGTGTTTGAAGTTGTTTGCATTTTGATAGACCGTAGCTTGGAGACATTGAGACTCTGGTTCTAAGACCACGAAGTCATAAATGACAGTACGGACTTTTTGCCAATTCTGGATAACTAGTTGCAACTTTCTGATATGCTGAAATAGAAACCTGGTCATTTGTGTCTGTGTATGTATATGAAGGCCACAGGAATAAAGGGATCCAAAGATTACATCACTTTGATCTAATTTGCTGATTTATTTTTTTTTTACTTCAAAATGTTCAGTGGTGATAAAGACGTGAAAAACTGCACTGTTGAAAAATTGGAATATTTAAAAGTGGTTGATAGAATCTTAATTTTATAACTTTTGTATAGCACTACAACGAAGTATTTTGTAATTGGTTTCCTTATTAAGGTCAAGTATTTGACAGCTGTAGAAGTTAGATAATATTGTTTAGTAATGTTTTTGCATGTTTAACAACTGCCTTTTGGGATCCACAAGTCATGATTCTGAACACCGGTTGAGATTTTTGACCGTAGAGGCAAGTGCTGTCTGTTGCAATAACTCTTTACTGTCTGAGGTGTTCCAGCTGTAAATACCCGGGCCGGGAGCCGCGGGCGGGGCAAACCCTGCGTAGCCCCGCCCCTCCCGCCCAGGCTTTCTGTTTTTTTTAATTTTAAACCAGAATAAACTGTTCAGTAAAAGCGGCACGGCGGCGGTTGTTTGTTGCGGCGCGGGAGGGCCGGGCCGGGGCATTCCCGGCAGAGCCGTGCGCGTGCGCGCGGGGGCGGGGCCGCCGGGCCCCCTCAGCCGGGAGCCGCCATGTCCGTGGCGTTCGTGCCCGAGCGGCTGCGCGGGAAGGCGGAGGTCAACCAGGACACGCTGCAGCGGGTGAGCGAAACGGGGCCGGGACGGAGCCGGGACTGAACCGGGACCGGGCCCAGGCTGAGCCGGACGGTGGCGCGGGCTCTTCCGGCCTGCTTGGCGTAGAGCCGGCCGGGGCGGGGCGGGGCGGAAGCCGGGCGGGCGGGCGGTAACGGCGCTCTGTGCCGCAGCTGCTGGAGGAGAACGATCAGCTGATCCGGTGCATCGTGGAGTACCAGAGCAAGGGCCACGCCACCGACTGCGTGCAGTAAGTGACCCACGTGGGCGGGGAGGGCGGAGCGCTGGGGGCCCAGGTGTCGGTAACGGGAGCGGAACGAGGCTCGAGTTCCGAGAGCTTTCCTACTGCTAACGGGAAAATGCGTCTGGGCTTACAAAGGGGTTTCCCCAGAATCGTTTTCAGACACGTATAAAGCAGGGAGCGACCCGGCCGCCTTGGTCAGGGTGTTTGCTCAGTGTTCCTGTGTCGCCCGCTCTGCCCGTGTGTGGCACAGCGAGCGCTGTCACAGCAGGACAGCTCCAGACCGCTGCAGCTGCTCACACCAGCCCTGTCCTCCTGCTCCGCTGCCCATCTGCGGCTTTCAGGGTCGAGCTGAATGTACTACTTCCCATGGAAGTTGGCTAGTAGTAACACAGGCTCGGCTACCGAGTGCAGATCAGTGCGTTGTACTGGGATTCAGAATAAGAACAAGTTTTCCCTGATTTATTATTCTAGTTTGGTATTTTTTCTCTAACTGCAAATACTGATAAGAGTACACGAGTGCAAGTAGGAGTAGTTGTTTAGAAAGGAATGTCTCCCAGATTCTGTGTTTCCTCCTCTTATAGGTACCAGCATATCCTGCACAGAAACCTCATTTATTTAGCTACAATTGCTGATGCCACTCCGCCCAACACGCAGAAGCCTGTAGACTGACTGCAATACCTGGACGTGAGCAGTGCTGCTTTCAGAGTAGAAATAGTTTAGAGTCCCACTTTGAGAGCCAAGAAAGTCTGGGTTTGAAAAATTCAGGTAAAAAGTGATCTGTACTTCCGTGTTTAAAATGTTAATGTTGTTTTCAGTGTAGTATTCAGCCAGCTTTTCCCCTGTTACTGTAACTAACACAGTTTAAGAATGAGAATTATCACATTCCCTTTTCCCTCTGAAAAACTCAGTGTACTTCAGGACAGCACGCCCATTTCATGAGTATGGTTCTGTAATAACAAGGTAAATGTTACACTACGTGACTCCTACCTCCAACGTGTTGGGCAATTCCAAAGCTGGACATATGTTCCATATCTAAAAGCAGTAGACTCTTTTGTATCCTGTATCAGAATAACTGTGCTAAATAAAGATGTTATTTGTAAATTGCAGTATATTCTGAATTAATATAATACATTAACGAAGGAGCTGCTCTGATTTGGTCAAACAGAAATGTTAACTTTCCTAGGATTGGTGGGATTGCTGCACCACTCAGCAATTATGTGCAGGGGAGAACTCAAGCCATTATTTTAGCAAGCTTTTTCTCCGTGCTTGAAATGCTCTGTAAACAAGTAAATTCTTGCATAATCTAAATGGGTTCAGTGTGCTTCCTGGGTACTGTCAGCACTGCTGGCCAGCTGCATGCTTGTGTACTCCTATCCAGGAAGGAAGAAAGCAGCTTTGCACACCCTGCATACAGCATTCCAGTGCCACAATTAACACACATTAATCTAATAGCCTTGATCACAGCAGGGAGGGGGACAGAGTTTACTTTCTGCTTACTACCATCAAAATTATTTACTCCCATGGTTCCTAAAAATTCAAGGAACGTGATTTTGGCAATGTTCACCTGCACTACTGGTTCAAAGACCCTGCTGAGGCTTTGTCTGTATCACGTTCTGTGCCATCACTTGAGAAAGCAGCTTTAAAGATTAGACTGTGCATAAAGTTCATTTTTATATGATAGAGTCAGTAAGTAAGCAGTTGACAATTTTCAAACTGTTAAATAATCCCATATTAATGAAATAAGATCTTTGTTTACAAACCAAAGTTACAGTTTAAGGTGCTGCTCGTTTTCAGCAAGGTGCATATTTTAAACAGGTATGACCTATTAAATGTATATCTTTAATAAAGCAAATAGTTTACTTTTACAGAAGCTTTAAAATACAAACTGTACAGTTCCAGTTCAGAAGCATTAGCTATTCACAAGAAGCACTGCAATAAGGGTAAGTTAACTAAGCACCAAACCCTTGCACTTGGCAGTGTAAGTGAAGTTTAAGGGCAAGACTCATTTGCCAAGTGCAACAATTCTTAAAATTACCAGTGTTCAGAACAATCGGAAGCAAAGGACAGAGTAGCACCCACGTGGTCAAAATGCAGACAAACTTTCTTTGTTTTCACAATTCACTTATGTAGGTCCAGAAACTTGCCAGCATTTGTAATTATGAATAAACTGCAAAAACTATAGCAATCATTTTGGCACTTGTTAGAAAAAAAGTTCAAAATTAAATTGTTTTCATTAACTTCCATTTTGGTCTTAGTATGAATAACCAAGTAAGTACAACCAAATTTGGGATTTAATATTAGATCTAAACAACAAGATTTAGGAAACTCGAAACCATTCATGAAGTTAAATAACCACTAACATTTTCAGTGGAGGGTTTTCAAAATTATAGTAGTACAGACCATTAACAATTTACAGACAGAAGCCACACTGATTGTGCAAAGCACATTACTGTAAAAAGTCTATGTACAGCAAACAAATCTTTGTAAACATGGTAAGTATGAAGTTTCAGAAAACATGGTGACAATATCATAAATACAGGCAACATTGGCATCCTCAAACAGCACAAAAGGTAACAATCTGGGCCTGCAAATAGAGCCCGTCACCATACAAACAAAAAAGGTGGATGGGTTTTAAATACCCAAATGTTTAATAGTTTTAGTGTTGTGTATACTTTTTATTTATACATATATATATATAATGTATTTATTTTTTGGTATCTTTAGATATAGATGTACTTAGTTTGTAAAACCAAAACCAAAAAATGTGCTTTATCTTCATTGAAAAATTATGTAGTTAGAACCTAGTAGTTAACATATTAGAATGATATGACTTAAGAAAAATACAAAAATAAGATTAATACTGTCAAAACTCTTATACCAGAAAATATTGTGGTTTTTAGACTCTTTCAAAGATGAAATATGAAAATTTAAATAAGCTTTAACTATATAAAGAATCTTCTGTAATCTCAATTCATATACAGTGGGATAGGTATACATATATTTACCATTGTTCTTCAATTTGTAAGCACCAGTCACTCGCCCCAATCCACTTTGGTTGGAAGATTATTCCTAATTCCACAGGTTCACTTAATGGCACATATTGACTGCAAATAATTACTTTATCCTTTTAAAAAAAATAATGTTCTTTTAACTAAATGCTACCCCACATTTCGGTTTTAGTATCTTCTGAGCCAGCTCACAATTTTTAATCGACTGTAGCATCTGAAATAAGACTTTAAATAAATGCAAGTAGTCTCTTAGGCTTTGCTTTCACACACTGCAGGAGCACCGTGTGGATATTGCCTTTGGCCACACACAGCCACAGGACAAGGTTTGTGTGACAGCCAGGGTCCCACTG